GCGCTGTGTTGTAGCTCTTGCTCGACCAGATCCTCGTCGCCTTTCAAAGCCACCAGTCTCCCGATAGCGCTGGTACACACGACGAACTGAATATCGGCTGATATTCAGTTGTCGAGCTACAGCACTCTGGTTCTGGCCCGCTTCAATTAGAGCGACGACTTGAGCGGCTTTTTCCGGAGTAGTATCCATCTTTTTCAGACAAATGCAATTGGAGTCACTAGAGGTCTTATCAGGTTAAGCGTTGGCTTGCAACTGATGACGTTTTACACAAAACATGCCTTTTTATACCTGCAGTTGGTCTTGCAAACTGCAGTGAGTTGAGGGAGCAATTTTTGGAGTTTGCTGTTGTCGTTTTGTTTCAGCAGGCAGGTAAACTTATCATGTCTTATGTGGTATCATTGAATAGGTATTGAACTATCCTTTAACCTTATGTTAAAAAATATATGTATTTTTTTAAATAAAAAGAAGTAAATAATATTTTTCAAAAAATGTACAGATGTGCGATTTCATTGCACCCGAGTGAATATAATTATTATATTTTTATATATGTATATATATTTTTTAATTATTTTATAGTCGTCGTGGCCTAAAGGATAAGACGTCCGGTGTATTCGTATGTAGCAATGCACCGGTGTTCGAATCCCGCAGGCGGGTACCAATTTTTCTAATGAAATACGTACTCAGCAAATGTTCACGATTGACTTCCACGGTGAAGGAATAACATCGTGTAATAAAAATCAAACCCGCAAAATTATAATTTGCGTAATCACTGGTGGTAGGACCTCTTGGGAGTCCGCACGGGTAGGTACCACCACCCCGCCTATTTCCGCCGTGAAGCAGTAATGCGTTTCGGTTCGAAGGGTGGGGCAGCCGTTGTAACTATACTGAGACCGTAGAACTTATATCTCGAGGTGGGTGGCGCATTTACGTTGTAGATGTCTATGGGCTCCAGTAACCACTTAACACCAGGTGGGCTGTGAGCTCGTCCAACCATCTAAGCAATAAATAAATAATAATAATAATAATAGTGTGTATATGTTACGTTCATTAGATTTCGACATATAGTACTTTATAAGGGTAGGTATCAAGATACTACGAAAACAAACCAAAAATTCCTGCACTAATGTAATTTTATTTTATTTAGAACTTATTTACACTTAAAAAAATCCGTCAATTTCGCTTGGGTTTCTGTTTTTGTATTTTGAATGTTTTTCTCTGACTCATAAATTTTGTCGAATATTGCTTTATCTACAACCGCCGCGTATTCAAAGTACTGTGTGCTTAGTGCGAGTTCTTTGCACGCTTTTTTTTCAATAAAATAATTTTTTCTTACACTATTTTTAATTCAAATTTAATAAAATTTATTTACTATTTTTTTATTATTTTTCGATTTTCTATAAAAGCGTATTTTTTTTAGTTTTTTTAAACCATTATTTATTTTTCATTTTTTATTTCACTTTTTTAAATGTTTTTATTCCTTTTTTTTTAAATATTGACTTGTCATCAGTCCTTAATAAGTATGCCAAATTTCGAGTTAATCCGAAGTTTTGAAGGGTGTCAAAATCATGTTCAAAGATTCCGTTACATACTAACATACATACGTCTGAAGCTAATAAAAGCGTATTAACAAAGCAGTTTCATCCGCATTATAAATATCGTCTGGTTCATACCCTTCTAAAAGATTTGGCAGATCTTCAGTCCAGGGGTTTGCACACACCTTGGTACACAGATTTACTTTCCCCAGTTGCTTTTTTGAAAGCTATATCATGGCGCCTTTTAAAACCCTCTAACCAGCCGTTGCTAGCAGAAAAGTTCTGGATTCCCAGTTTTGTAGCAATCTCTTTTGATTGTGCAAGCACCAGAGGTCCATTTATGGGAATGTTCTTATCAAAAGTTCGTTTTATCCATTCTAAAAGGCACTTTTCGATATTGGGAAATTCAGAAACTCTAGTCCTCTTAATGTTTCCATGTCCATCAAAGCACTCAGACTTTATAGAGTCTTTTGATTTTATAATTTTATAATAGGTGGATTCTGGTAAATTAAACTCCCTCTGAATTTCATTTCGCGATTTTCCGGATTCAAATGCACTCACTATTTTAAGTTTATCACTTAACGACAGTACTTTAATTTTCCGTTTTGACATGATGCAGAACAGATCTTTCCTTTGCTATTGATTAACGATAAACTGAGTAAGTCCGACAAACTGGACGGTACACAGGCACACGTGTCCATTCGATAAGAATGCCATAAAATAACAACGTTATTTAGTTCCATGAAATATAATAGGTTCGATATTGACGAGAAAACAATACAAAAACAATGGTAGGAAGTTCCACGAAAGCTAAGAATGAGTCATAAAATAGCAGATGTTATTTGTAATTTGTTCCTCCTAAATAATATAAATAAGCAAGCCGTACCCGCCCGCTTCGCTGGCCATTTAAAATTAACATTATTATTTATTGTCATTATTATTATTAGGGAGTCCAACACTCATATAAATATTAGCCTATCCATTAAGTACATATATTTTTTACATGGACACCAAGATTCAAGTCAATCGGATGCATGGTTCAGTAGTTATAACGGAACATCCGTAAAAACCTCTGTAGATTTATATATTAGTATAGATAAAACTCGACTGTCGCTTATAGAGGTATAGATAAGTAGCAGTCTCACTTACGGAGGTTCATAAGGGAAAAACGACTCTCTCTTACACAGGTTTTTGTTTCTCGCTAATAGAGGTTTTGGGAGCTTAAAATGACGGGTCCTGGCTATTACTCTCACTTATAGAGTTTTCTCACTTATCCAGTTCTCACTTATCCAGATTTGATTGTACTTCATTTATTTTGATGTTTTTTTGATGTTTTTTTGAATAATACTTACTGTAGTTTCACGTTACTAGGCACCACAGGCGCCTTCTGCTGCATAACCTCCTCTACCTAGAACAAAAGACAAATGTCTTGTTAGTGACATGGCCTTACAAGTCATTAAGCATTGTGGATCCCATACGTGACCCTTTTCCACTGGGTGTTTCACAGCTAATCTATCTATTACAGCTATATTTGAAGCAACTATTGTTATTACAAATCAGTTCTAATCCCAAAAGCGTCTCAAATCTATGTAGTTTCCGAGCGCAATCATTACCCTAGCGCCATCTAGTAAGCGCGTTCGCAAAATGAAATAGGTCCAAATATAGGTAACAACACTAACAGGTTCATTGAATGTACCTAGGTATCTTTTTTTTTTTTATTGCTTAGATGGGTGGACGAGCTCACAGCCCACCTGGTGTTAAGTGGTTACTGGAGCCCATAGACATCCACAACGTAAATGCGCCACCCACCTTGAGATACAAGTTCTAAGGTCTCAAGTATAGTTACAACGGCTGCCCCACCCTTCAAACCGAAACGCATTACTGCTTCACGGTAGAAATAGGCAGGGTGGTNCCTGGTGTTAAGTGGTTACTGGAGCCCATAGACATCCACAACGTAAATGCGCCACCCACCTTGAGATACAAGTTCTAAGGTCTCAAGTATAGTTACAACGGCTGCCCCACCCTTCAAACCGAAACGCATTACTGCTTCACGGTAGAAATAGGCAGGGTGGTGGTACCCACCCGCGCGGACTCACAAGAGGTCCTACCACCAGTATCTCTGCCGGCACCCGTTATCACACCCTGTACCATAGGTAAAACCGTCTTTGTCTAATTCCATAAATTATAATACATCTGACTTCTTTCAGTGCATCCATAACTACTGACAGCTTAGATTTAGTATCTCTCTTAGATTAAGCACTTAATCGGATTATTAAGAAATCAGTTTTTTTTTCTGCAAATAAAGCGAACAATCGATACTTCAATGATACACTGACATAAAAATATCGCGTGAAGAGTCCCGCGATCTGTTCGAAGAATTAAAAAGAAAATGACAAAATCAATGAACATTTTGAGGTTAATGACTATTCTACAAAGATAAAACGGTACGCTCATACGCATTTATGTGATTAATAAAATAATCTAATATTAATATGCCGTACCAGGTTAATTAAATACAATCATAATAATCTGGACCAAATCACGCACAGTCATCCTGCCCCAATTTAGGATTCCCTGTGTTATGGGTACCAATAAGTACCTACATAATATATAGATGATAAATGAGTCGTCTATTATCAAAGGTGGCAATCTGTGCATTTGGACAAAAAATTTTTATTGATATGTCAATACAGATTGATTTGAATATAATCGTGTCCTTCAAAGAATACGGTTCAAAACCTGCATTAAATAAAGGTTAATAGTTAACCTGTTATTTATCTAAGATGTCGTTCCTAAGAGTTTTGTGACTGCCAATGGAATACAAAGTCAATAATTAGTTTTTCTGATTTACCAATCATTGTCCAAAAGTCAGATTGCCGGCTTGGATAATAGTCGACTCAAATACTCAAAGAGTAAATAAGCGTGTTCATCACAAAATGTTTGCTCGATGTGGGAATCGATTTCTTAGGTCTACCTCTTCCTCTATATCCTTCTACATTCATAGTTAACATTCGACATCTACAACCCAAATACCGCCACCTACCTTGAGATATGAGTTCTAAGGTCTCAGTATAGTTACAACGGCTGCCCCACCCTTCAAACCGAAACGCATTACTGCTTCACGGCAGAAATAGGCAGGGCGGTGGTACCTCCCCGCGCGGGCTCCTACCACTAATAACTACTTGCGGCTAGTTCAGAGACCTTTTCTAAGACGGACGGGCGCAGTCATGAGCTAAGCCAAGAGGGAGTACTTAAACGGTTTGTCTTTGCCTATTTCAATAGAGATGAGACAGAACGAACTAAAAATAATGAAACATTAGATATGTAACTATACTTGAGACCTTAGAACTTATATCTCAGGGTGGGTGGCGCATTTACGTTGTAGATGTCTATGAGCTCCAGTAACCGCTTAACACCAGGTGGGCTGTGAGCTCGTCCACCCAACTAAGCAATAAAAAAAAATAAAAAAAAGATTTGGTGGTTAAAATTAATTCAATAATACTAGAAGAATAAAAGTCTTTAATATAACATTGTATATTTGAATAGTTGTGAAGAAACCCATCTTGATAAGTTCAAGTTTAATTAAATAATGTCCCGTTTTTTAAAGCACGCTTAATAGCACGTGCTTCGTGGTTGAAATAGAGAGACAGGATTGAAATAGAAAGAAAGGTCTGCTGGCTCATAAGATCCACAAGCAGAAATTATCAATATCGAGACTCGTTTTCGGCCGATGTAAACGTAACTTCAAAAACTTTTCAAAATATATCTATATATTAATACGTGAAGCAAAAACTTTGTATCCCTTTTTACGTAAATTGCGCGGACGGAGGAGTATGAAATTCTCCACACGTATAGAGAATATAGAGAAGAAGTGCACAATGCTAATATTTTTTTTAAATAATGCATAAAAGATACATGAAATCAATAAAGAAAACATTACACACACTACATACCATGTATTTGACGCACACATGGTCAAACTTTTGTTATTGACGTCTGTGGTCAAATTGAGAATAGATTAAATATTGTTTATCTTTATTTATATGTTTTTATAGTGTAGCCTTGGCGAAATTTGTGATTATAGAAGTATAAAATACAATCATAATAGTGTACAAACTTACAATTCCAATTAATTATAGTCGAATTTCGACTACTGCGGGACCCCTAGTTATAATAACAGGATAGTAAAGAGTAAGAATGAGAGACCGGTAGCCGAAGCTCTGAGATATGTTAACGCTAACATATCTAAACGTCTATAACTCAAAGCGGAATGCGTGATTGCCTCTCCTAAAAAATAAGCAGAGTTGTCGTTCTAGCCACACTTGCATCGTCACCAGTTTAGCCCACTGAGTTTCTCATCGGATCTTCTCAGTGGGTCGCGTTTCCGATCCGGTGGTAGATTCTGCGAAGCACTGCTCTTACTAGGGCTAGTGTTAGCAAATTCTCTCAGGTTGAGCCCATGAACTCACCTACCCGTCCGCGAAAAGCTGGAATAGCTCCTTAGGCTACCAGCGAATAGTTGGGTAAAAAAGACACGAATACGAAATTCCACAGTTTACATAAGATTATTTTAATAAATAAAAACTCACGAGACGACTAAACATGTCTTCAAGTCCAAAATACAAGGTGACACTGAATGCAGCGGGCCTTAAATAAAGCGTTATCTAAAATAATATCGCGATATGATTGATCAAGTTACGTCAATTAAACAGTCCAATGGAATCTGTCGGCGGGCACGCTTTAATTATGAAAGTTATTTAAATACGTTTTTTCATACAATTTCATGTTCATTTTTCTTCAGATCACAACAGTAAAAACGTATTTCGGTAGCAAAATGGTAGTTGCCTTCGGGAATCGAACACCGGTACCGTCGCATCGCCTGATACGAATACACCAGCCGCTTTATCCCTTAGGCCACGACAACTTCGGAATTCTTTGATTTTTACAACGAATCATAGATAGTCTTATGAAGTTGCAAATATGAAATTCTTTAAAACGTGTTGTATTTAAAGCAATGACACTCCGTGAGTGTGTCAATAATTTAATTAATTTAAAATAAAACTTAGCTACCACTATGAATTGATATTGTCGTGTTTTTCTGACTCCGGTCCACATTTTAATTACGTTTTACACAAATCGATCGAAAAACTATGCAGTCTCCTTCATCAGTTATTTATAAGATTGTCATTCTTGACGTTTTTGACGTTTGAATTTTGTCTAATATACAGATAAACTTTTTCGGTATTAATAAAACCTTACAAAATATAATATGTAGGATTGGTAAGAACGGAGCGTATGAAAAGAGTGTCGAACGGAGCGGTAAGATGTGAGTGAGAGAACGGTAAGAAAGGGAAAAGAGAATGACAGAGAAAAGCAAGATGGCGAATGCTATTGAATGATTAAATATACAATATATTTTTTTTTATAACTAAATTTTTTAAATTTAATTAAATTAATTAGTCAGTTAATTTTTTTATATAATAATCTATTATTTTTGTTAGTTTGTTGTTTGTTAATATAACAAAAATTTACATGCCTTTTTGGATATCAGTTAATTATTTGGAATTCTCTGGAAGATTTTGGAAGAGAACAATAAAGGTGCAAGAGCAAAAGAGCAATAAAAGTGCAATTTTATTTTATACGCCACGATCCCAACTCTGCATATATTTGACCAATCGGTCTTTTAGTATACTTTTTTAACTTATAGACAGACAATCATACGGTTCACCTGATGTTGAGTAGTCACCGTTGCTCATGGTCATTGGCAATGACAGAGGCACAAACCTCGTTCGATACAGGACATTTCACAGTGCTCAGGAAAGCAATGCAGTGTTCATTCTAGAGCCGTATAGTATATCGCAAAGCAAACTATGTCATTGACATAGACTATATACCAAGGGCGGCTAACTTGATTAGAACTAAGATCTACTGTCTACTGACGAAACAGTCTGCGATCCATCAATGACCTTTCTTAAAATTTAACGACACAATGTAGTTAAATAAATAAGTAGTACATTTTTTATTTATTAAAAAGATTAAAATAAACCTGAAATTATATAATAAAAGAGAACTATTGTGTAGAAAAGAGGATAAATAATGTGACGTAATGGTCATTAATAAATGATACAAGATGAAGATGATGCGTGCAGCAATCGGTGATTACGTTGCGCGGTCTGTTCTATGTATTTATATTTTTTTGTCTTGCCACGATCGAGTGAACTAATAGCCACGATCGACCAGTCGATCGCGATCTACCAGTCGATCGCGATCTACCGGTTGGCCATTCCTGCTATATACTATGCCAAATATTATGTGTCATTGTGATTAAATTATCCCTTCATCTTCAGCTTAGGCATTGTTTTGCTAACCTAATCTGTGATTTTAGTAAAATTCGTGAGTCTACCATCTAAAGTGAAGAGTCCACGCTACTTTGTGTTACATTGCGGCTACACAAAAACAGATTCGCTAAAACCATAAAGTGTTTGTGCTTAAATTCATATAAAGTAATATCCTATAACTCACATCTTGTATTTAAACCAGTAACTTTTTTAATAGGTGTACCATTATTTATAGGTACCTATATAACTATATTTCGCAGATATACATTGAGTATTTGAGCACCCTATAAAACGCAATTGCTTTTTATAAAAATGGTAATCAAAGTCAGGCTTGAAGGGTAGGATTGTTACTGTTACCTCCCTCGACCGGGTATCCGTAAATGGATTCCCCAGTGTAAAAAAGAAAGGATTGTCCTGCTACGTTGTACTACTTGAGACACTTGAGGCATCGAAGCCATGAATCGTTGATATTAAAAATGTATAGGCGATCCGATAGCTTCTTTACACTAGATGGGCTTTTATCAACTTGCATATGTAATAATATTATTAAAATAAATCACATTTAACCATCTCCCAACACGCGTGCAATAAATGGCAACACACAAACACACAAAATTTCATATAACCAATAACACGTTTAAAGTCCGACTACCCTGCAATGATAAGTATAAGTCAATAAATCGCCTTAAACACGGTTTTATAGTTTCCGATGTCAAATAAAAACAAGTCCGACTAACCTTAAAGACGTCCATGACGTAAGAACAACTTAGACAAGTATATTATATGCGTTTAACAGTCCGTCCAACAACGTATTTGATAATAAAATTACACTACTAGCATTTTAGGTGCGGTGTAAAATTTGCAATTCAGTGATTGGTACAAAACATAAGCGTCCGAATGTTATCTATATATTAATACGTGAAGCAAAAACTTTGTTATACCCCTTTTTACGAAAATTGTGCGGACGGAGAAATATGAAATTATCCACACTTATACAGAATATAGAGAAGAAGTGCACAATGCTAATATTTTTCAAAATTAATGCATACAAAAGATACATTAAATCAATAAAGAAAACATAACACACACTGCCATGGTTTTGACACACACACATATATGTATGTACTCTTTAATGCTTAAAGACTGTGGTCAAATTGAAAATAGGTTAATATTGTTTATCTTTAATATTATTTTTCTATAGTGTAATCTTGGCGAAATCTGTGATTATAGAAGTATAATAGTCTTTGACAATATAACCATAATAATGTTAAAACTTATAATTTCAATTAATTATAGTCGAATTTCGACTACTGCGGGACCACTAGTCTACACAACTTTATAAGATACGCTCCAATAATATTTTTTTATATTTAACTATGAATATTTTGTATCAGCTCACGCATCCCGGGCGCTCCCATGGACAGCCCACTGAGTTTCTCGTCGGGTTTTTTCAGTAGGACTCGATTCGGATTTGCCGGTAGCTTCTGCGTAGCACTGCCCTTGCTAGGACCAGTGTTAGCAAATTCTGTCAGGTTGGTGAGCTCACCTAACCGTCCACGCAAAGCTGGAATAGCCTGTTTATTAAGCTACCAGAGAATAGGTGCTTTTAAACTTGTGTATCTTTTAAAATCGATCTTCACGATTATATTGCTTATACTAATTGAAATTAAATTGGTAACAAAATAAAATCTTATAAACACTACGATCGTGCTAATGATAATTTAAAATAAGTGTCAAATACATTTAAAAGTTCCAAATAATCCCATTTAGACCGTCGGTCTACTAAGTTTGAAGCCGTCGTGGCCTAAGAGATAAGACGTCCGGTGCATTCGTGTTGAGCGATGCACCCGTGTTCGAATCCCAGGCGGGTATCAATTTTTCTAATGAATTACGTACTCAACAAATGTTCACGATTGACTTCCACGGTAAAGGAATAACATCGTGTAATAAAAGTGAAACCCGCAAAATTATAATTTGCGTAATTACTGGTGGTAGGACCTCTTGTGAGTCCGCACGGGTAGGTACCACCGCCCCGCCTGTTTCTGCCGTGAATCAGTAATGCGTTTCGGTTTGAAGGGTGGGGCAGCCGTTGTAACTATACATAGATCTTTAGAACTTATATCTCAAGGTGTATGGCGCATTTACGTTGTAGATGTCTATGGGCTCCAGTAACCACTTAACAACAGGTGGGCTGTGAGCTCGTCCACCCATCTAAGCAATAAAAAAAAGCAAAAACAATCGTCGTCGTTTTCTATACCAATCGAAATCGATAAGTGACAATTTTCAATTCAATGTGTATCATGTACGTAAGTTGCTGGCGCGTGCGGACGGTACCATACGATCCAATTGTAACACTTTATACTGATTCCTATCACTTGGACCACAACGTCCTCCCACATGCCACCCTTCCCTCAAACGGAAACAAAACATTCGTTCGATCAGTCATTGAACCCTTCGCTGTGATTTCATAAATAAAAATTGAGATCATTGCAACCTTTAATTAGATCATATGCTTTAGGAATATTGTGAGATGTATAGGTAAATACTAGTAATATCAACCGATTACAAATTTTATCACCGGCTTAAACCGGTTAGTTTATAAAATAAACCAGTTTTTTTAATAAATAAAAACTGGATCAAAATAATTAAAAATAATTATAACTAAATGTTTACTCGTCAATGGATTAATTCATAATTTTACTTTGTAAAACAGAGTGGATAGGTACACTGCAGTGCTCTTTAATTTGCTTCTGTGTAACGATAGTCTGTATCCCGATGTCGAAAACAAATGCTCAGAAGGTTGACATAAGTGTATTATTATCAGAAGTTTCTAGCGCATATGTACATTTATTTCCCATATAATCTATCAAGCGGACAGTTTTAAATTTTCCAGATAGTGCTTGTGATTTCTGTTTTTTTTTTAAATTACAGGATTGATTTCCATGAAGTAAGTAGGCTGCAGCATTTTGACCATCCGTTCTCCGTGGTTAAATAAAGTCAAAAATATTCTTTGCACACGTATTTATAAAATTATTTATAATATGTAAAAAAAATTCTCTTGAATTCGTTAATTTGGTTATTTTGTTTTTTGTCTTTACGAAAAGATACTCATGAATTACAGCACACTTAACAAAAAACGCTAACTAATAAATGATTGCGGGAGATCCCAGAGTAAATCCCACTACCCGTTTTGAGGTTCAAAGGCAAGTTCTCAATTTTATTTCATTTAAATTTAAGGTAATTTTATTTAAAACATTAGTAAAAATGTTATAAGAAAATTCTCAAACGCCTTCAAACTGATAAGAATACAAAGTTAAATTATCAACCTTCAAAACGATTTTAATGTGGTTCCTTGTCCTTGCTCTGAAAAATAATCTTATCTCGATACGCACCTACATCACATTTGAGCAGATTTCGGTGTAAATAATGACGTCATAGCGACATTGAAAATCCTAAACAAATATATAGGTAACAATCACAAAAACAATTAATCAAGCAAATTTTAATAAAATTAATCAATTGCAAATTTGAAATTTTTATCACACCATTTCATGTCTTTGTTGGTGAGGTCAGACATGATGTGTTAGTTACCTACTTCTCTAGAAAGGTAAGTGCTTGCTTACGTGTTTTGAAAATACGAGTACACTATCTTGTCATTTAGACCACGAAGGGACTTTTTGGCGGGAACGCGAGGAGTGAAGTTGTATGATTTGTTTTATTTTGTCTATTTAGTGTTTCTTCGTTTAAATGTGTAATAACGGTGGTTTATTAACTGTTTAATATCTGTGAAAGTGCACAAATGTTGGAAAATGAAACAAAGCCGCTGGACGTTACCTCGGGATCCTCCAAAAAGACCACTGAAAAAAATCTCAGTAATTGATCACCATCTTACTGAGATTATATTTCATTCCATATCATCTCATCTCATTTCATTTAATTTCATCCCAGTTGATTAATGTCTCCAATTAATCATCTTCATTTCATTTCATTTAATTTCACTCCATATTATCATTTTTCATAAAAATAAGAATATAAACATGACTTAAAGGTCTTAGTTACCAGGTCATAAAATCCCTTATAAAAATTTGACCACGAAAACGACCGATATCACAATTTCCTAGCGTCTATCAAAATGTCTTATATGAGTCGTCTATTATCAAAGGTGCCAATCTGTGCATTTGGACAAAAAAATGTTATTGATATGTCAATACAGATTGATTTGAATATAATCGTCTCCTTCAAAGAATACGGTTCAAAACCTGCATTAAATAAAGGTTAATAGTTAACCTGTTATTTATCTAAGATGTCGTTCCGAAGAGTTTTGTGACTGCCAATGGAATACAAAGTCAATAATTCGTTTTTCTGATTTACCAATAATTATCCAAAAGTCAGATTGCCGGCTTTGATAATAGTCGACTCATATATTAACCGGTATTTTGTAAGAGCAAATAACAACATAAATAAACTCTTCCCACAAGGATTGTAAACTGAAAGGAGACAATAAAATTACTAATACACGAAAACGAATGTATTAAACCGACTTCAAGAGTGGCAGTAAAACTGCAATAATCCTTCGTAACAAATCGCGTCCGCAAACAAAATGACGCAAACATACCATATAACATTCAGTATAAAGGTATTTATTAATCTTCTATACATATAAATAAAATTTGAGTGTCTGTTTGTAATATTGAAATAACCGCTTTTTACTACAAGCATATGAATACATACATACACCAAAATAACATTTTTTACAATTTTTGTCTGTCAGTCTGTCTGTCTGTCTGTTTGTTTGTTCCGGCTAATCTCTGGAACGACTGGACCGATTTTGACGGTACTTTCACTGACAGGTAGCTGATGATATAAGGAATAACTTAGGCTTCCCCCGCGGCCCGACAATAACCGTGGGTAACATCGCGGGACTCAACTGTCAATAATAAAATTTAATGTTTCCGAAACGAAACGAAGGCGGGTTGCTAGTTTTGTAATAAAATCAACAATTTGTTTGATTTCGAAAACGTGAAGCGTTTTACTTACAATCAATTTACGATTAAATATGTCGTATTCGTTCGAAAAGTTAAGAAGACAACTAGTGCTCTTTTAAATGTATAAAATCTTACGACCAGCAAATATGTCGCATCTTCTTCGGTTTTCACTCCTTCTCCTCCTTGCATCGTGTTCCTCAGCATTGAGGATCGTGACCTTTACGGAGCACTTTTTTGGACTATGTTCCTCCATTCCTTTCTGTCCTCTGCGCAGTGAATAGAGACATTGATAGTGGAGTCCAATGTCGTATTAATTTAATCAGACCAGCGCATGGCATTTTACTGGTGGTAGGACCTCTTGTGAGTCCGCACAGGTAGGTACCGCCACCCTGCCTATTTCTGCCGTAAAGCAGTAATGCGTTTCGGTTTGAAGGGTAGGGCAGCAGTTGTAACTATACTTGAGACCTTAGAGCTTCTATATCAAGGTGGGTGGCGCATTTTACGTTGTAGATGTCTATGGGCTCCAGTAACCATTTAGCACCAGGTGGGCTGTGAGCTCGTCCATCCATCTAAGCAATAAAAAAAAAATGGGACTATGTACGCATCCTGGGCCTCTTTCCTTCAACTTTGCCGGTGATGAGTAGCTTTTCGAAACTATTTTTTCCCGGCTTCTTCTGATAGCCTTGAGAGGCTATATCAGCGTTATCCTAGCGTGTAGGTGTTCTCTCGGAGCTCAAACCAGAGGTGTTACTAACACTGGCCCTAGCAAGAGCAGTGCTTCGCAGAATCTATCACCGGATCGCAAAGCGACCCACTGAGAAGATCCGGCGAGAAACTCAGTGGGCTGTGTATATGGGTTAATTTACCTACTCGTCGAGCCCTTCAAGCGACGGGTTCGGCGAGGACGGTGACAGGTGCTCGAGGTACCTAAAAGCACTGTTAATGGATCGGGAGGATCCGTAATGACGTGTTTGAATCTATAAGTCCGTTATCAATTGAAGTGGTCGTGGCCTAAAGCATAAGACGTTAGGTGCATTCGGATCGAGTCATGCGACAGTGCCGGTGTTCGAATCTCGCAAGGGGGTACCATTTTTTCTTATGAATTACGCATTTAAGTATTAAGACTATTAAGAATAGGGTTTTGATATTCACACAAATCGATTACGAAGTTTTCAATTTTACTTAAACGTACCAGCGGAAGGAAGCAAAAATATTTGCAAAAAAAAAAAAAAAACTATTGAACTTGCTCTAGTGTTCCACTAACAATGGATCTCATCTCCAAGCCGCGTATCTAAACTGCTGATGTAACGTATTTAACATTTGTATCGTGCGGTCGTGTTACAACATTAGCGGTTACATTTTCTGAGCTTGCAACACCGCGGGCGGATGATTATCGCAACAAGCCAACTTGTTTCATTCGCGAACTGCATCTGTTTAGCCATAATCATATTTTATGGAGAGGCGTCGGTAGTTGCATCGTATAGTGCGTTAAGATCGAAATAATTGAATATGCAATTTCGAAAAGGGCACATGTCGCATATTTTGTCAAATACGTTTTTTCTATACATGTAGTTTTGAGGCTTACCTACACCCATTTTATAATAATTCCAGTAATTTTCAATTGCTAATTAACACTAAAATATATCTCAAAAGTTAATATTTTAAATTTTACACTGCTTTAGAAAATAATCAGTTTTTTTTCACTTCCTGAACATTTTACATTTTCAGAGATGTGTCCTTTTCGAAATTGCATATTCAATTGTTTATGTCAGAGAAATTAAATTAAGATGAATGAACACTGAATATACTCGGATAGGGCATCTCTTTCTGCCACGAAGAAATAATTTGTTTCGGTTTGATAGCTAGGACGGCCGTTGTCCTATAGATTTGAGGACTTATTACCTTATGTCTCAAGGTGGGTAACATTTTCGTTGATGGTAGCTTCGGTAACCAATTAACACCACGTGAGCCCTAAACCTGTTCAACCGTCTAAACAATAAATGAGGCCTATAAAATCAAAGGCAGCTAAATCCAAGTCTGTCAAATATTCAGGTAAACTACAAAAATCGGCCCTAAACACGTCATTACGGTTCCTCCCGATCCATCGAAGTACTGCTCTTGCTAGGGCCAGTGTTAGCAACACTCCCGGTTTGAGAAGCTGAAATAACTTTGTTCGGATAGCTACAATATTCTTTATTTTAAAGCAGATTTATAAAGGATGAGAATATTACTAATAATCTGAATTTTAAATGATAAAACTTCGTTTATTAGTACAGATTAAAAAAATTTTTTTTAATTGAATTTGTTAGAATTTTAACTGCATTTGTTATAACATGAAAACACTAAAGCGTGTCCAACTAACTAAACAAGATAGCGCCATTGTTAATACATTTTACGACATTAAGGCGTTTAGCTGCCTTTGATTTTATAGGCCTCGAATAAAGAATACGAAATTACACAAATTTCAGAACGATCACCAATACAAATTTTATCAACCTACATTATTTCATTAGTGAAAATTGACCATTGGAAAAAAACCTTCAAAGATAAACACAGCTATTATGTAGCACGACTTTTATTTGCAAGATATAAAATGTTCCACCATGAAGCAAATAGTGTACTTTAACTATTACATTATACTTTTTTGGATTCTAAACTCTAATCCTAGGCAATGTTGGTTCTTTTTAATAGTTCCTCTGAATGTGCGTGTACAACTTTATCATTGTTATCTGCAGTTGATACAAAAGGTACACTCATAATTTGTTATTTATTTGCAAAAGTTTAATCACCTTCAGTTTAAATTGGATTTTGTTATTCAAGATCTAAAATTTTCCCTTTCTAATGCGTCAAAACTATAAATTGGATTTTAATTTGATAAATTATAAAATAATAAATAATTTGATCCAACGTGGTAACGTAGCCAGTATCTTGGGAACTGTGCCTCCTTCAAGTGCATTGGAAGATTTGTTCTACTGTATGA